ATATTATTTCTCAACAAATTATAATTTTTCAAACAACAGATCAGACACATAATCAAGTGCATGTGCACACTACCACATATTAACAATAGTTATCTTGTGTCTTGGACAACAAGTTTCCATTTACAACTCCACTTCCTCTACTTTTTTTATCAATACAATATACACATCATTTAATAATACATAATATTAATTTCATAATTATGAACAATAATTAACTCTAATTATAGAGTTATGGAGTCTAAGCCTAACTCACATTTAATGCCAAATAAAGGTTAATACTCATTTTAACCCTTCGAAAAATTCTTCATAACATCATCTTACACTCATAAGTTCTAATTAAATGTCAAATCAATCCGAACATCAACATTTCATCATTACACAACCTTAAAATTGGTCCTAAAAACACCTTAAAAATTAAAAAAATTATTCCCACGCATCAAATCAATATTCTAATACCGTAGAAATAATTATTTATACTTAAATAAACATCTAATTAAGCATCTGAAATCAACCCTCGAGTTTAGATTCAACTAAAACTTCACCATTTAAGTTTAGGATTTAACTCAAAATCCTCAAATCAGAATTCCAACCTCAAAAGAATGTTCTATAACATTTATTATACCCCAACAACTTTAACATTTATTTTTAAAGGATTAATATGCGATTTAGACCTTGAACTATAGGTCCAGAGGCAATTTCAACCCTAAATTTTTAAAAAAGTGTATTTTGAACCCGAAACAATTAAAGTGAGACAATTTCACCCCTGCCATTAACTTTGAACAAGTGCCCATCAAATTCATTTGGAAAAAATTACATTTTAAGCCCCAATTTAATGGATGTTTGTTGAAAGTTAACATTACGGGCGAAATTGCCCCAACTTTAATTATTTAGGATCCAGAATGCACCTTATTTAAAAATTTAGGGATCAAATTATTCCTAGACCTATAGTTTAGAGTTTGAATTACATATTAACCTATGATAATATTATAAATTTCCCAAGATATGAGAAGAAGGAATTAAAAAAGGTAAATGATGATGATGATGATGATGAAACTATATAAAAGAAGGTTGTAAATTGTACTAATGAGTAAAGCTATTTTTGATGGAGATTGTGGTGGATATAAATGAAACGGTGTTGAGTTGACTATTTTCGTTCTTGCTGCATGGGGTTTTGATAGGCTATTAGTGATAGCAATCAAAGAGTAACATAACCTTTCGCTATAAGTGCACTTTCATATTTTTCCCTGTTTGTTCTCTAACATAATGGAATCTCATAATAATATCGGTGAAAAAAATATTATTATTCTTTGTTAGGAAAAAATCTAGAATAGATTCCTCTTCATACACTTTTTTCTCTATCTCTTTATTTATCATAAAAGCATTTAGTTCTGTTTTATAAATTTTTATCTTTTCCACTCAATTCAAATCAAGAAACTTACACACTCCTTTAAAATCTTTTTAAAAATTGATATAATATGCAAAATATACTTTGTTCTATTATTGTTGAATTATCATTGATTAAAGTGCATTTTTTAAAATTCAAAATGGTTAATATGCAATTTGAACCCTGAATTATAGGTCCAAGAGCAATTTGAATATCAGACTTTTAAAAAAGTGTATTTTGAATCTTAAACAAAGCAATTTTACCCTTACCGTTAACTTTCAACAAGTGTCCGTCAAATTAGAGCTTAAAGTATAATTTTTTCCAAATAAATTTGATGGACATTTATTGAAAGTTAACAGTAGGGAAGAAATTGTCCTAATTTTAATTGTTTAAAACTCAGAATGCACATTTTAAAAAATTTAAGATTTAAATTGCGTTAAACTTATAATTCAACATCTAAATTATATCTTAACTCATTTTTAAATTATCATAATTTTAAATTAACTATCTTATAAAAAAATTTATTTTATTCATCAAAATTATACTATTAAAAAATAATTTTTGGTGAGTGAAAATATTTATAAATAAAGTTTGGAGGATGAGAAGAGGTAAAAAGTTACACCCCTGCCAGAAAAATGGACGATGCCGGCCTGGAGGGAAGAGAAGGGGACAACGCATGCGGGGTATTCGAAATTCAAATGGTGGTAGTTGTGATTCAATAATCTTGTGGGTCCCACAACTCTCTTCCACCCATTTCTTTTCTTTTGTTTTTGTTTTTATTTTTTTAAATTTTCACTTGATTCCTTCAGCACCAGTGCCGTTTCTCCTTTCATTTATTTTATTATTTTTTAATATATATATTTTTTCTGTTCTCTCTCTTTTTCATATTTCATTTATTATTTTTTATATTTATTTATTTTATATCACATTATATTTTATTGTTTGTATCTTTAAATAATATCCTAAACTAAGTTAATAACAATTTTATATAACTTTAGGCACAATTTAATTTATGATTAAATGTTTAAACATGTGATTAACTTTAAATAATTTTAAATGCTAATTCATTCCTTAATTTAAATCTGAAAAAAATTTAAATTCTTAAATTTTAAATTCTCAATAAAAATCCCAAATAAATTTTATAATTTATTTACTACTTAAAAATTAAGATGTTACATGTGTGGGTTTTGAAATTTAAGCGTGGGTTTCACAATTTCACTTCCTCTTCTTTCTTTTATTTTCTTTTTCGTTAAATGCATACACCTTTACACACGCACCAACAGTTTCCCTGATCCCTGTTTTTTTTCTTTTATATATATATATATATATATAACATTTATTATTATTATTATTATTATAAAAAATATTAAATTAAAATTATATCCTAAATTAAATTTAATAAATATATTCTAATTAATTTATTTATCTTTAAATGTACTTTCTAATTTTTATTAATTTTAAGTAACTCTTAAAATTTATATCAGGATGTTGCAATTCTTCTATTCTTTTAAATTGTCTGTCAAAATTTAAAATTAGTAACTATGAAATACATACATATTCAAAAAGATTAAGATAATCACATCACATATTTCCCTCATTCTCCTAGGTAGCATTATTAAGAGTCATACCCTTTCATATTACTTTCACCAATCAAATGGTCTACCATACTACTTATCCTTATAATCTACAATTATTCTCAACTCAACTCAATATGTCATATTTTCTTTGAGTTCAATCTCTTCGAGTTTAATAACATGGGAAGGATTCAATTGATATTTTTTTAGTTGTAACACATGAAATATGTTGTTTATGCTAGCAATTTAGGATAGTAATGCTAATCTATAAGCTATTGGTCCAACTTATTTAGCCTTAATAGCCCTTCCAATATCATTTATTGAAAAGATTTTGAAAAATACATGGTTACTCATTTCAAACTTGAGCGATTTACTTCTCTTATTTGTATAACTCTTCTGCTTATTTTGAGCTGTAAGTAACTTCTACTTGCTTCAAATTCATTGATTATTAGGGGAAATAATGAAATATCAGACTTTGTTGAAGGATATTCACCTCTAGTTGGAACAAATCCTAAACTTTTAGTGTCAGATATTGTCGAAGTAAACAATCCTAATTCCATAGGAAGTTTCATTAAGCATCGAGTCTTGCTCCTGTGTAAGATTATTTTACTCTCACAAATTGTATCTAAAATCAAGATGTTTTGGTGCACTTATCTCCTTATCAGTTGCATATTAGACAAATATATTGTATTTGTCATGCTGACAATCCAAATATGAGATTACATGGTATACAATATATTTTCATGAAAATAAAGGGCATATAATCCCTAGTTATCAATAATTACATGGTATACAACAGGCTTTGATATTAAAAAAAAGAGCAATTTCTAATGGATCAAATTAAACATATGCTTTTTACATGGAAAACATATATTTACATGTAAACATTATATATTATATTAAAAAAATATTTGGCTATTACGTGTAGGCTTGGGATGCAAGGTTATAGGCTTATAGTGTGAAGGGATAAGTTTAAGGTGCATGGGCATGGGTATTAGGCGCAAGGTGCAAGGGGATGTGCTTAGCAAGGGGATGGCCTTAACGTATAAGGTGCAAGAGAACAAGCTTACAGTGCAAAGGTATAGGTTTTGGGTGCAACATGCGGGGGGTATAAACTTATGGTGTAAAGTGACAAGTTTTAGGTGCAAGGGTATAGAGTTTAAGTGCAAGGATGTAGGCTTAAGGTATAAGATGTAAGGGTATAGATTTTACATACAAGGTGCAAGGTGATAGGTTCTGTGTGTAAGCTTATAACCTTGGAGTGTAAAGGTATAGACTTTAGATTTAAGGGTATAAGTTTGAGATGCAAGGCACAAAGTGATAGGTTTTGCGTGCAAGGGTATAAATCTAAGGTGTAAGGGTATAAGCTTAGGGTACAAAGTGTAAGGTATAAGGTGATAAGGCTTGGGGTACAATGACATAGTTACTAACATTTATGTTACGTCGGGTTGTTGAGTTTTTTTATGTAATCTGTGATAACTATCATGGAAATATTAGTTTTTCATGGTATTATTTATAGTTACCATGAAATCAAATAGCACTAACTTTTATTAGCAATCTTGCACTAGGTAGTCACAGCTTTGATAGGAATATTGTCACCACCAAGTGAAAGGATTAGAGCTTTAGCTAACATTTCAACAATTGAATTTTGTGCATTTTTTTCAATTTGTTAATTAACATAGGGAGACATTTTAGTTAAAAGTAAGACTTATATATTTAATTTTATATATTAATATACTTATATTCGATAAAATCATAGTGGATATTAATATGTTAATAAAATTAATAACAAAAATTTATTATAGAATAAATAATTTATACAAGATTCATATATCTTAATTTAATTAAAAATAAATATATTAACTATATAATGTTAAGTATATAAATTTTTTTATTAATTGCTTATATTATTTTATGAATAAATTTGTTTTGGTTGTTGAGAATAAGTTCAGCACGGATTTTCTAACAATTTATTATTGTTACTATTATTATTGCTATTACTATTATATTATTATTATTATTATTGCAATCCTATACGGTCTCTCGCCCAAAACCCTCAAACCCTTCTCTTTTCGCCCCATGTTCTGCGGGAAACAGACTACAATCCCTTGAGCTCTTCTCCTTCTCTGACTCCTGAGTTTGCGATAAAGAAGGTAGTCGCATTTCCTGACCCCTGTCTATGGCTCTGTGAAATCGATGAGCCTCTCTCTCTCTCTCTCTCTCTCTCTCTCTCTCTCTCTCTGTAACTTACTATGCGTCTGAGAAAGAAATTGACTTTGTTCTGTTCTTGCGACTCTGAAGGCACGAACGACGGCTGAAATGCGTGAAAGGTGCGATGCAGAAGTTGCTGCGTCCAAGCTCCTCTGCTCCTATAATCTGCACTGTGGGTAGCCATTCTTTCTCTCTTAGTCTTCCCACAGGAACCCACAATCTCACGTTCTCGTTTCCCAGCAAGAAACCTAACTATTCCCAGTCCATAGGCCCCTTAAGCGCCTTTCTCTTTCACTCGTCATCACGGCTTCCTACAATGGCTGCTTTGGCTTCATCCGCTTCGTCCTTGGCTACGTCGTCTATCAGTAAGAAACCCTTTTCTTTAAGCTCTGCTCTGTCGTCTCGCTACCTGGCCACTCTAGCTGCTTCTTCGAGCAGTTGCTGCATCTGTAGGTGCGCAGTCAACGATAGGACGCTTTCTCGAGCATGGGTTGCGGTTAAAGATGGAAGGAATGGGCCAAGAGCAGCGTGGTTGCATTCGGGCTCAGATGACTCTTCTCTCACTGTTTCTGTTCATGAAGATGCAAGCTCAGATAACTCTATTGCTGGAGATTCGGGGGAAGAGGGCCAAAATACAGCTTCATTGCCTTCATCGGAGGAGAAGCCGTTGAAATTGAATGGGCGGCCCAAGGGTTCTTCCAGCAGCAGCTGTGACATACCTCCAAATCCGGATTTATTGACGATTCCGGGTGTGGGTCCGAGAAATTTGCGAAAGCTGGTGGATAAAGGTTTCGCTGGAGTTGCCGAGCTCAAGCAACTGTATAAAAATAAGGTATATTTTGGCTAAATTTCTGTATTGCTATAAACAACTGATATGTCAGAAGAGAAGTCATATCGTGATGTATACACACATTTATCAGCAACTACACATTTAAATCCTACGTTTTATTGTGTCCAGTGTTCATGCTTCTTAGCCATTTCACTGTGCTTTCCCCATTGCTAATCCTTTGTACCTTGTTGCTGAACCCTAGACGGACCTGAACTCTGGTTCTCTTCGAATTCGTTAGATATGTTGCTTTATTATTTTTTTTAAAAGAATTTTCTTTGTAGTTTAGCTTCCTTTAAGATAATAAGGAGGATAATGGCCCTGCCATCTTCATGTACAATTGAAATGTTTGTGTGACCAATGGCTATTGTTGGTTGATTCAACCAGCTACAGTTGAATTCTTTCTTTTGATTCTGAATTTAAAAGGGAACAATGTACATTATAAATGATGCATTTGTCACCCCTTTCTATGTGATTAAAAGGATTGAGACTGAAATTATAGTTTCCACATTTTCTTGAAAGAATTTCAGGCTTTAGCTACAAATTCAATTTAATTTGCTGTGTAAAAGAATTTAAGGTCAAGGAGTCTTATTGTGTTATAAATGTTGGTGGGCTTCTGCTTTTAGCTTGATGCTATTGGAGTATGCAAAACTTTTGAGTTGTTTAATTTATTAGGTCATTTTCTGCAGTTCTCTGGCAAGCCTAGTGACAAGATGGTTGAGTATCTACAGAGTTCTGTGGGAATTATTCACAGGAACCATGCTGAAAGCATCACTACTTTCATTAAAAAGAGTGTGGATGAAGAGTCGGAAGCTAACTGTGTGCAGTCTCCACACAAAAATCGGATTACATTTTGTGTTGAGGGTAATATCAGCGTTGGCAAGACTACTTTTCTTCAGAGAATAGCTAATGAAACAATCGAGTTGCGTGATCTTGTTGAGGTGGTTCCTGAACCCATTGACAAGTGGCAGGATGTTGGACCTGACCACTTCAATATTTTGGATGCTTTTTATGCTGAGCCACAACGGTATGCGTACACCTTTCAGAACTATGTATTTGTTACCAGAGTTATGCAGGAAAGAGAGTCATCTGGTGGAATCAAGCCTCTTCGGTTGATGGAGAGGAGTGTTTTCAGTGACCGTATGGTGAGTTATGTCTCCATTGGCATTTCTCTTTCATTTATTTCATTTTCTTGGAAAAAGTCATAGTTTGTTTGTTTCACTCTTGTAGTCTCAGACAATTTTTGTGATCGCTTGTCTTGCATATCATGTCTTTCCATAGGTAGACAATAAAGCTGTAGCCAAAAATGTTTTTAAGTTCAAAAGTAATTGCAATTAATACATTTGAAGCTTTGCAGTTCTTTCCTTTTCTTGCGTGGCATGATTCACAAGGGAAGAAAATCCTGTTTTGAGAGTTTAAGGGCTGATGCACTTTGTGTCACTTTCAATAAAGGTCTTTGTGCGATCTGTTCATGAGGCCAATTGGATGAATGAGATGGAGATCAGTATTTATGACTCTTGGTTTGATCCCGTTGTGTCTTGCTTGCCTGGACTTATTCCTGATGGTTTTATCTATCTTAGAGCAAGTCCTGATACTTGCCATAAGAGGATGAAGCTACGAAAGAGAGCGGAGGAAGGTGGAGTCACCCTAGATTATCTTCAAAGCCTCCATGAAAAGCATGAAAGCTGGTTATTTCCCTCTCAAAGTGTTAATCATGGAGTATTATCAGTCAGCATGCTGCCCTTGCATATTGATAACTCCTTACATCCTGATATAAGGGACCGTGTTTTCTATCTTGAGGGTGATCATATGCATTCAAGCATTCAGAAGGTACTGTATTTGGTGATCCATCTGGGAAATTTATGGTGTTACTTAATAGTCAAGCAAGCTTAATCATTTTGATATAACCAGGTTCCTGCATTGGTCTTGGACTGTGAACCCAATATTGATTTCAGCAAAGATATTGAAGCGAAGAGAGAGTAAGATAATAATCTCTACTTGGATATGTGGTTGGGACTAAATGATCTTTTCCTTCGTTGATTGTTTTTCCTCCCCTGTTGCTTGGCTATAATTAACTGTGGGTATGTGGGTCAAGTTCATTTACTACGCTAAGTGGTCTGTTCAATGTGTTGTACAAATGGTTAAAATTGGTAAAAAGGAGAGACGCTATCCTTTTGTGCTTGACTGTGAGGGGAAATTATGTTTGAAGTCTTAATTACAGTATCTTTTTAAGGTTTAGCCAGTTTTCTGCTTGCTTTCTTTACCCATTTGCTTTCCTATGCTTCTCTGACTAATAAAATTCCTTGAGTCTTTGTTTCACCCTCTTTTTAATCTGTAATTGACAACACCTGCCTACAAGGACATACGACCGTTCTCAATTTATTGTTGAAAGCAAAATATATGGCTTTTGGTAGGAATTTCCAGTAACAGATTCCCCCCCCCCTCTTGGGTTGGGGGTGTCAAGAAGAGTGTGATGATGTGGATGAATACTAGAGTGCTCGAGAGATTTATACTGTCAAATTGGTAGTCTGCTTGTGCGTAAAGGCAATTCTGTTATTTTCTTTTTTCTTTTTGCTCCATATAATTTCTGGTGCATTTGTTTCGTTTCTACAAGGATACCATTAATATGTGTCATGCCCTAACGCATTTTTCTGTTGCTGTGTTGAAGATATGCACGCCAAGTTGCTGAGTTCTTTGAATTTGTGAAGAAAAGGAAAGAGAATACACCCAATGAAGGTGGTGAAGGTTACAAGAACCGGCCACAGGTGCTGCTACCCCATGGTGGCAGCTTGTGGGTGCCAGATGGAAAGCATTTTCCTTCGTCAGCCCTCAAATCTCTGGAATTCAGACGAACCATGTCATCGTTCATATCTAGCAAATAACGTGGCTTAGTGAAATCCATTGACCGTTTTCTGCCTTTGTTGCAGATTGTAGATCCACTAATGACCCCTAGCTGACCTGTTGTTTTTCTTGCATGTAAAGATGTTGGGACCTTAGCTGGTTTATCAGAGATGGTTGTATTTGTATGGATGTAATGCTTTATTGCTGTAGTACTCCCGCGAGTAGGTTTGTGTTTCTTTCATTGGAAATGTGGCTGTATTTCTTTGATAGGAAATTTGGTGTCTTCCTTGACCATATTGTGAAGTCTCATTTCATTTGGATTTTACCAATCCACACATCCACACACGCATTACGGTATTATAATAGAGATATAGTTTTTAATTTATTTTTAAAATGCAAGATCTTGATTTCATGAAACATGTTTAACAAAAAGGGTCAGCAGAAGTGTAGATCCAAATTAACTTTCAAGAGAAAACAACAAATAATTCTTCTAAAAAATAGGTCATGTGTCATGGCTCACATGACATGCACCATAGCATGTAATGTAGAGCAACATGCGTTAGTTTTGTATCATGCGCTGAAGCTTGCACACCAACACCATATGTTGTTACATGTATTAGATTCTATTATCATCATAGATTTTTGATATGAACTTTCACTGCACGTGATTTTCATACTTGACGTCTGATTGGAGTGCGTCAAGCACGTATATAAAGCTTATAACACAATTTATCTAATTAGATAAATTTGGATACGATTTAATAATTTAATCTCAAAATGAATACTTGGGGTGTAAAAAGTCACTAATTTTAAAATTGGTATCCTAAGTGTTCAATTTTTATCACTTTGGACCTTGAATCAAGTTCAAAAGAATCAAATACCCTTGATTCATATATCAAATCACATCAATCACATCATATTTACAATTTGACCTTTCAATGCCTCGTCACATACTTGTGGTCTTATATGAGGTATCACACACATTCACATAAACACATCCACACTTGTTCTACTTTCACACATTTGACTTTCACATATGAGGCCAAGCCTTACCATTTGGTTAAGTTCACATGAGTACACATATCATCATCATAATACACATACTTCAGTTGAATAAGTTATGCAACATAACATAACATAAACTTGAATAGCATCTAGGCTTACTCACGCATTGAACACTGTGATACACTTGGCAATATGCAATGCAAGGTATATAGCAAGTTATCAAACAACATAATCATGTATATACATATTTATATATACTTATGTATCCTAGTTGACAACCTATAATTTCTCAAATGTCATCACACATTCATTACATACAAAGATAGCCACATCATTACCAATTGATACTACTATTTTGTTATATCTTTTTCGGCCTTCTTGCACTTTCTTCACTTGTATATAAAGGTAACGGAATAAGACATACATCCCAGTAACTTGAGTAAACCTCAATTATTGATTAGTAAGTAAAATGATATATAAGAGATAAAGTAACATTATTTTCAATAAAACAATATAGATAGCATATATGCAAAAATCATATACAACCATCCACTATGCTTATACACTCCCAGTTCCTACTAGTGGGGCAAGCTCAATGCTTGAACCCAAACTCCAGCTTTACATGAAATAGGGCCTACCAAACCATCGTCTTATGAAAGGTATCATCAATATGGGTGGTCTCTTAAGTCCCCACTAGTGGAGCATACTCAAGCTTAGATTGTCAGGACCTAGCTTTACACTAAGTGAAATCACGACTCCTTACCCTAATCTAGGATATAATCATGGATAATTCTCCTAGGTCCTTTCTGGTAGAGCATTCTCTACACTCAAGACCTTCAAGACTTCTTAACCTTACACAGAGTAGGGCTGCGACCCCCTACCTTAGTTTAGGTTACACTCACGAATTCAAATGCACATGCTCCCTTGCATACATCACAAGCATAACTCACATACTCACATATGCAATTCTTTCACAATGTTGCTACTCCATCAATTTATAAAACACAATGTATACAATTATATGAAATACTTGTAAATAATTTCACAAACCAATAGATAAAAGGGTTACTCTAATTACCTTTTACCCTTACTACCAAAGGTTATTATTCACACTGAACTTCTCAAATCAGTTCAACCCCCATGAGCAATCCTCGAATGCTCAATCTACACAGTGAATATTCCTTACTCAGTTTTTAACACTTAGCACAGGCACCAATTTGGCTGAGCCAAATTCCTCAACACATAAAACAACTAAATTAAGGCCTTTTGAGCTTATATAATCCATTCTTTATAGTTATTTGCCCTTAGGCTACTCAAATGATCAAAATATCCTCCTAACTTACTCGTTTATCAATTTTCTCTATTTTCAACCTAATAATTTAGGTTAATTTAACCTTATATCCTCAAAGTTCAACTATTAAAGTTCAGATCAGTTGTAAAACCTTAGTTTCGCGCCTGAAAGCCCTTTTTAACCCTTTTTCTTAGATTTTAAATCCTTAATACTCTTTCATTCAATTTTTCTATCGACCAAACTTAAAGAAATTAGGGTAGAAATGCAGCACAAGGAGGCATAAAATGTAACATCCTCAATTTTAAATCTAGATTAATTAAGCTTAAATAGATTAGTAAAGTGAATCTTTGAGGTGCGTGGCCTGATAGGCCTAATGGGCGTGTTTGATCTTGATTTCAGTACCAAACATGGGTTCAAAGGAGAATCGGGTCACCTAGGGATAGAAGAGGAAGAATTTTTGAAGGGAGTGGTTCTGTGCCACACGTCGTGGCATGGGGTTGGTTCGCTATGGTGCATGCATGCTAACATGCTTAGGAGAAACTCTCTGTGCCATGTGCCATAACGTATTGTGTGTCCGTCGTGGTGCATGGCCAAAATTTTGCAATATTAAGTCGCAAATCTGAAGTGAAAATGAAGAGAAAATAAAAGAGAACAAAGGAGTGGCAAAAAAGCTGAGCTAGGGTTTGAAGAAACTGATTGTTGGGAGTAATTTGGAGCTCATAAACACTTAAGGTAAGCTTCCTAGCTTAAATCTTCCTCTCTTCTTCCATTTTCTTGATGGTAGATATTAAGGTTTGATTTCTAATGGTGATTTTCAATCCACAGAGTTTATGGGTCCGAACCTATTGTCTTAAATAGAGTTAATGGGGGTAGATTGAGCCAAGTAAACTTGATATTTATGATTTTATGATGATTGGTAGTTGGAAGATATTACTTGTCTGAAATTCCCATAAATTTGGTGGTTGGAAATAATGTGACTTCATTAATGCCCATTTAAGAGCTTAATGTTATAAATGAGAGTTAAAGGAAGCTAAGAAACCTTACGAGCACTTCTACATGAGTTTAGAGTAAAGCTTGAGTATTAAGAAATGATGAAAATGCTAGTAAGGAATAGCTCAAAATAGATATTGATGTTTTGCATGATAAATACTTATAGTGTAATTACCATTGGCACCATTCAAGCTTCTTGAAAGCTTCAGGAGCAAATAGTTGAGGGGAGAAACCTTTGACCTCTCAAAGGTTTGGAAAAATTCCATCTTATGCTTGTGTGTCTATTAGTTTATTGACTTAAGAATTATTGTTGAAATATATAAACTAGAGAAAATGCAAGTATGGCTTAATTTGTGAAGAAATCTACTAGATCAAATTTGTGAGTTTTTATGCCTTATGGTGTAAAAATTTTCTTGAGAACAATAGTGGTGGATTTTTGTATTAATGTTTATTAGGAGTTCATTGATTTTGCAAATTGAGAAGTAACATGAATCTTTGTTTAAGAGAAGTTCAATGATGTTTTAAAATAGTGGAGTTCAATGATTTTAAAAGTGTGAGGTATAATGATTGTGATTTGGGAGTTTGATGACTTGTTGGGTTTTGAAGTTTCATGAAATGTGTTTGAGAAGTTCAATGATTGTGAAATGATGAAGTTCAATGATTTTAAAAGTGTGAGGTACAATAATTGTGATTTGGGAGTTCGATGACTTGTTGGGTTTTGAAGTTCATGAAATGTGTTGGAGAAGTTCAATGATTGTGAAATGATGAAGTTCAATGATTTTAAAAGTGTGAGGTACAATAATTGTGATTTGGGAGTTTAATGACTTGTTGGGTTTTGAAGTTCCATGAAATGTGTTTGAGAAGTTCAATGATTATGTAATGTGAAGTTCTATGAATTGTATATATGTGAGTTATGGCATGGATGTCTATTGCATGATCTTGAGAGGCGGGAGTTCATTTGCCTAGGAAGCAAAGTAGATGAAAAATCCATGTGGTAATGCCCCATTTGTGTGATGGATTGTCTAGATTAATTCTATCCTTCTTGTCTCACTGGTTCAACGAGGAACTCAAACCTAGCTAGCTATCCACCGGTTCAATAAGGAAGCTTGTTTAGGGTGTATGACACTTCATAGTGAGAAATGAGGGAAACCGTGATCCATAAGTGAGTTAGGTATGCCTTGGCCGGCTAATTCCCTCACAAGTGTTTAAGCTAGGGAAGTAAAAAAAATATAGACTATCCCATTGAGTTATAGCCCACGATTTCATGTCAGAGGAATAAGGAGGTGATAAGGGAGGTGTGATCATGCATATAGTGAGTAAAGGCACTTGTTGTCTATATTGAGTCTATAATGATGGCAATTGAGTTGAGTATTAATTTTTTCTATTATGCTTGTCAATAATTTGTTTGATCAACTCTATCTCTATGAAAAGTGCTAAAAGCGAGATTCTCCAAGTAGTTGCTATTATGTGAGCTGAACTGTGAATATTAAGTTTTCAAATGTCTCACGTGGGTTAGAGTATTAATATTAATTGCCACTTGCATTTAAACTAATTGTTATGCATTAGTATGGGCTAGTCAAACCTTGGTTACTGAGTAGTTATACTCACTCCGTTATCTTCAATATTTTAGGAAATAGTTCAAGAAGTGTGGACAGAGGAAAACAACCCGAGGCTTAGGATCACGATCCATTTGTAATAGGCCTCTTTATTTTAGGTAATTTATGTGTATGACCATTTTGATTGCCAACTAGGATTTCCTTTTTTGTTACTTACTTGCATTAAGAGAAAAGTAAATTGTAATAGTATTTTAGGCCTTAGGGAGAGAGTTGATTATTATGTGTTGTTGATAGGGCCAAAATACTAATGCAAGTGAGGGTGGTGCATATTATGTGATGATTTGAGAAATCATAATGAAAATTGTGGTAAACTCCCCCTTCCTATGATTTTGAGTTAAGAGATTGAGTAGTAAAAATTTGATTTGGAAATGTTTCTTGTGTTTTGGTGCTTT